CTCCACATCATTGCATTCAGTTTTTATTCACAATTTGTTTAGTGTCCCAACTTTTTTGGAATCTGGTTTGTATATATATATACACACACACACACACACACATACATATACACATATACATACTTTTTACCAATACCCTTCACCCCCTGTAAAGATATATTGGTGTTTATATGTTCATCGATGTGATTAATCAATATCAGTTAAATGTGATCGTGCACTTCATTCAGAAAATCCACGTCACATTTCAGGATCTGGTTATTATAGACACAGATTAAATGTTAAATATGAATATTTCTATATTTATCAGCGCAGTAATAGTATTACATACGTTAGTAGTTGTAAACACAAAATAATAAATATCTTTGTTTAGTGCTTACCTTTAACCTAAAAATTTAAGGAGTAAACATTTTTAATAATCACGTTAAAATTTCTAAATGTTGTCTTTGGTGCCTGTTTTCCACATATATTAGTGTGTGTGAATGACAGACATTAACCTAAAACACTTTGTAGAACGGTGCTTTATGAAGTTCAGTCCGGCAGCTCTGCCACATTCAATATGACGGACGCTTTGACGACGAGTCCGCTCAACGAGGCGTCCGCAGCCAACCCACCTGTCCTCTGATTGGATCCTTAAGTTGTGATTGACATGACATTGACCAATCAGCTGAGAGGAGGCAAATTCAGGACAAAATTCGCACATTAGTTTTTGGATTTGTATCTGTAAACAGATTATCGTAAAAAAGTTTTGTAACTTGTGATTTTTTATTGTTTTTTTACAAATACAAATCTTTTTTACACGCGCAAAATATATACGAACAACTTTTACCAACTCCCCATGAAAAGCAGACAAAGCTCCATCTGTAGTTTCTAAAGATGGCCGTTATTTAGCTAACGTCTGTTTCTCGCGCGGGCTGTTTGTAAACGTTACCTGTGCCGCTCACCGCTCCGAACAAAACTCTGGCGACCAGGTGAACCGCCGGAAACTTCGCTGTACACCCGCGGAGGACCTGGAAGAACCTGCAAACATCTGTAAGAAGCACAAACATCTGGAGGAGAGCTAACCAGGCGAAAGAGACGCGTTTCTGCGCGTGAACTCACCACTGAGAGGAGCGGTGGGCGCCATCTTTAAAAACAACCACCGGAACTGATGAACTTCTCTTGTCTCCATGGTTACAGAGGACAGGTGTCCAAAAGGTGACACGTAATAAAAGATGAGTCGTGAGGAGGACAGGAGGCACCTGCTGAGTGACATCACGATCCAGGTGGTGAGGGGCGGAGCAACACAAACGCTTAGAGGGATCCGAGACAGGTAAGCTAACGGTTAGCATAGCTTAAAGAGAAGGAAATATTACGTAACTTTTACTTATCTAGCGCCTTTCAAAATAAAAGTTCCAAACCACAATATAAGACCCAAAGGATTTTTAAAAAGTAAGTTAAAACAAAATCAAATTAATTAAAATACAATATGAAAGCTGATAAATGCTGCCATAAAGAGAATTAAGTTTTCATGTTTATAGATTTGATGTTAAGAGTACTTGAATGAACAAAAGTAATACTTTATCTTAAACATAAATCAGCTCTTTATCAGAGTTGTATCCATTTGACTTATTGGCTGTTGTGTAATGAATGATCGCATGAATGGGGTGCCTAATATATTTTTAAAATAAATTTTCCTGCAGGTCAGCTAGATTCGCCCGCCTCAGCGGAGGAACCACGGTCCAGGCTCACCTGGCGCAGGCGGGGCGGAGCTTAGCAGCGTTTGGTGTCGGACTACTGTTGGCATCGCTTTACGGAGCCATGGCTTTGTTCCTGCAGAACCAGCGGCTGTGGTTCTGTGTCTACACCACGGTGGCTGTGGGCGGCCTAGCAGGGTTCGGTATGGGACTGTCAGCAGGTGTTCGAGCTGACGTCATGTTGATGCTACCCACCATGTGCTCAGGTGAGGCTGCGGCTTTCAGCACGAGTTTCCAGGTTTGTTTTGCGGGAAATTAAAAATGATCCAGAGTAGAAGAGGGTGGAACTCCTAACAATCAACCAGTCACAGCCTGTATTATACAAACCATATTGAAGGGGCGGAGCTTCCTCTTACAATCAACCAATCACAACCAGTATTATCCAAACGATATTGAAGGGGCGGAGTTTCCTCTAACAATCAACCAATCACAGCCTGTATTATCCAAAACGATATTGAAGGGGT